AAGACGCCGCTTTTGATGCGGTGTTCATGTCACTTCTGCCAAGCTGCACCCTTCCCCAGTGGGGGAACTGAAGCCCTCTGTCACCTCTGGCAGGAGCCTGGCTTCTCGTTCGCTTTTAGGTGCCTTCAGTGAGGTGCTTAAGTGGAAGCAGGGGCCAAAGATTGTCACACCGCCTTGCACAGAGCATCTGGGAGAAGCTGCTGTTTCAGAGATTTCTGAAGGCTGATGTAAACTTGCCCGTTTCCTCTTGACTGTGCTGGCAGAGTTCTGCAGGGAAGCGTTCTGCTGCTGAACAGATTGCTATTAAGTAAATGGTGTTGCAGTTTCTTGGTCATGTGGTTGTCGTTGGAGAAAGTTACCGGTATTGTCAGCTAATCATTGAAATCCTAGTATTGATTGCTGAAATACTGCTTACTATATGAGTCACTTCCAAAAGAGTCTTTGATATAACCCCTTCCTAAGGGTACTGCCTTTGCTAAAAAAGGCATTAATTGTCCAAGTACCTATGTACTTTTTTAGGGGCAAGGTCAGTTGAACATGTTGGTTCCTCTGAAAGTTGGTGACTTCTCCAATTCAATTATACAAAGCTATTAATATTGCTGAAACTGCTTTGCTTTTGCTCAGTCATGTTCATTTCCTCCTGGTATAGGCATGGCTGCTAGTTGAATTGCTTCTAAGTTCACCAAATAACATGGGTTGTCTGGGTCTTGTTTTGGTTTTGGGGTTTGGGCCTTTTTTTTGGGGGGGGGGGGTATTTTTTTTCTCATTTTTACACCCTGCCTTCCTTCCATGGGACTTCTGCAAGCCTCCCCTTCTAAGTAGTTCAGCTTCCCTTTCTGACAGGACAAGCTTCCACTGTCTCATGACCAGCAGCCATCCTATCTCAGTGCGCTGCCTATCTCAAATGAAACAAATAGCCTTACAGTTTTATCAAGGTGGATGGGAACACGCAGAACATCTGACTTGATGCTACAGTAATTAACTTTACTATACATTTTATAAAAGCTTTCCATTCAAGCCTAGGAGAAGAGATATTGACGCCTTAAGCCTGTCCTTACTTCTCCTTTCATTGCCTTTGAGGAAAACAGCAAGCAAACAGTGGACACAGCTAACTATTATTCACTCCTTTTGGGAAACTTTGTAGAGTTAGCATTTCACACAAAAGGTACAGAAAACTGGTGACCTGAGCTGGCAAAACTGTTGGTGGCAAGACTGTTATGTTACCTAAGCATCTGGAGCTGAGATGAAAATGTTTTAAGTAATCTTACATGTGAAATAGTCAGTATGTCGAAGGCTTTACAGCCTAAAATTGAAAGAGTTTGGAGACTGAAAGCTGTTGACTGAGGGGGCTCTCTATGTTGATATGTATACCCACTATCCGAAGAACAGAGAGCTCCAGCCCCTCCCTTTGGCCTCACAGACACTTTGCTCTCATTTTGTGTAGACTCTGTGTGTTGCTGTTGGCTCAGATAAACTAAGCATAGCGAACCACTCAACCTGGTTCAGACCAGAACAAAAAGCACATTGCCTGGTGTGGAAATAGGACTTGTGCAAGAATCTCCCTAATGGAGAAAGAAAATACATCACAGAGTATTTAGACATTATAGTGCAAATGCCATTTGCGAAGTCCTTGATATCTGCACACAGAGTATAGCCTGTGTGCCATTTGTCAGTTTGACTATGAACTTTTCTGACCTTCCTGTCACTGACAGAGCTGTTAAATATGTGCAGTCTTGCTTGCTAGAAGCCATATTCAGCTCAGTGTATAAGGAGCTGCTAAACAGCTCCTCGCTCTATGAGCTAATAGAAGTGTAGAATTCTCAGGGAGAGCGCACTTGCTGGGTGCAAAAGCTGGAATACCTGCCTAATCACGGATTAAATCACACGGCAACCTTAGCCTAACTGCCATTGTTATAAGCCAACGGACATCACTTTGAAAGAAGTGGCTGTTGTAGGAATTGGATGTTTCTTCAACAACACATTTAGTTAACTGAAGTGGCTTCTCCAGGCAGGAGTTACACCAGTAGGATGTCACTGAATTGGAAGTAGCGCTTGTTAAACTCGTGGAGTATTTCAACTCGATTCAGCAGCCTATAGAACTATATTAAGTTGATCCTCCTTGGTCTTGCCTCTCTTGATGCTTGATAGCTTACGATTTCATGATTGATTTGAGCCAATTAGACTTTGAACTGCTGTCATAAGTGGTGCGCCCAGCATCCGTAGTAACACTAAAAATTGTGCAGCTGCAGAATAAAGTGGATTAGCTTGTTGATCTGTCAAAAAAAATTAATGGTTTGATGTGATTCATTGTGTGGTTGTGTTATCACTAGTGCCTACATAAGGAAAATAGTGGAAAAACATAGGAGATAGGGGAGCAAAAGGGCTAGAATATCTCTTCTCGCTACAAAATTATTTCAAATTGATGCAAGCTAACCATGAAGTGCACCATTGCTATCTGCTGTTCTTGAAAGTTTGTTTGTGCCAGTATTGCAAAAAGTTTGGGCTATCATGAATACAAAAATTGAGATTTTTTTTTTTAAACTGATAGCAACCCTTTGCTTTTTCTTATTAATTTGATTTTTTTTAAACAGAGCACTAATAATTTAAGTAACTTTAGAGTATGTAAAAGTGGTGACACAGCATACTAAAGTTGTTATGCAGCAGTGACAGCCTAAAATACAGAAATAGCAAGGCTGGTAGAAACTATGTTAATTGGTCTAGTCCAAACTGACTCGTAGAGAGACTGAACAGGGAGTCTGCACATCTTTTACAAACTTGTAAAGCATAAACAGCAAGGTATGAGAAGAATAATTGCTGGAGTCATAACAGAAAACTTGAAAGTAAGTTCTTCAATTGCCTCTTCATGTGACTGTACCTTGAATCTCTGAATACGCAACTTCCACATTTTTTTATAACAGCTGATTTTTTGGTAAGTTCATAACTTGTGGTGATAGCTACATATACTACCTTTCTAATAGAAAGCTATGTTAATTGGTCTAAAAAGGTTGAGGAAAAGGAGTGCACAAGCTTTTAGCTCCACAAACTCATCTTCAGGGTATGTATACCTCGCTATGACTTTCTTATCTGAAAGTTCATCTGTTAGGCTGGATCATGTCTAAATGGGGATGTTTAAAATACACTTTGCATTTAAAGCAAAGAATGTAAGTGTTATCTTACCAGCTTGAGTTAAGTCAAACATTGAGAGAAATCCTTTGGGGAAAGCTAGAAGAAGGAATAAAGTACAAGAAGGAATAAAGTACACTAGAACTTGTCTCACTAACTCATCTTGTGACCTCTTTTATCTTCAGCTGCTCAAATAAAGAATTTGATGAGCCAGCTAGGAACCAAGCAGGATTCCAGCAAGCTTCAGGAGAACTTGTAAGTATTAAATGAGCTAACACTTGTAAAGATTCTCTTTCATTTCTGTCTGTATTCTTAGAGGAACTGGGTTACTTGCTTTGGGGAGATCCTTTATTAGATAAATTTAATACAGTCCTTCAAACCAAAAATGACTAGCTGTGTTAAGTAGTTTATGGACCGAATTAAGGTGTTTCTGCGGGACTCTGGAGAAGCCATTCAAAACTGCTGGATAGGAGTGGTTAGAAATGGTATCGTTTATTTAAAAAGGGTTGTAGTACATCAGCCGTGCATTAGCTGTGCTGTGAGGACTAGCCATAGCAGCTTCACTTGTGGTTTAGGAGAAATGAAGGCCATACTAGGTACTTGGCTCTCACATAAGAGCAATAAGGAAAAACAGCAAGGAAGACCCATAATTGATGAAAAAGTAGCTTGTAGTACAGATGGATTTAGGCACTGGAAATCTTATATGGCAGCCAAAATGCCACATGTAATTTCAGAAGAATAATACGCCAGTGGGGGACAGTATAGAAGACATTTAAACAGGCATAGTCCAAACTGACTCCTAGAGAGACTGAACAGGGAGTCTGTATGTCTGCGCATCTTTTACAAACTTGTAAAGCATAAATAGCAAGTTATGAGAAGAATAATTGCTGGAGTCATAACAGAAAACTTGAAAGTAAGTTCTTCCATTATCTCTTCATGTGACTGTACCTTGAATCTTTGAATAAGCAACTTCCACTTTTTTTTTATAGTAGCTGATTTTTTGGTAAGTTCATAACTTGTGGTGATAGCTACATACACTGCCTTTGAAGGATGAGATCAGAGCCCAGTTGGGAGAGAAACGAGTTTCTTTGCGTGAGCTGTTCTGTTGACTTGATCTGTAGATTAAAGAACTAATCACTGGTGACCAAACAAATGTATTTCCATTTAACTTCATTGTGGAAATGGCCCTCCTCTTTAAGGTGAGAGTGGTTGCACTCCACAGATTGTCAGCTGCCATACAAATTTAATACAAAAATGCGTGGGTGCTTTATTCAGCTCGCGTATTGCAGGTCAACTTATAAAAGAATGCAGCCCAAACACTTTGATTTGTATATCTATTGGGCTGAATAGGTGACTTTCACTTAAGCATCTTGTATCCATTGAATGACAAAAAAATTGGTTCTTGTTTTAGTATTTTTGTGTCTTCCTAGTTTACAGTATTAGTTTTTGTGCATATGGCTGCAGAATAAAACTTGTGGTTCTGTTCTCTGTGAAGCACTAGCATTCTTCCTAATAAACGCCATCTTTGATGTACAAGATGATGTCTTTAAGCTCAGTGTAACTAAGGTCTTTCTGTATTGTGGTACTAGTGAGGGTGCTGCTCCGCTAGATCCTTTGCACCAATATCTTTGAATTGAACATTGTTGGAAAACGTAAAGGCTCAAGGGAAAGCCTTGCATCTCTTAAAGTAGGAGCTGATCATTCCTCTCTCTGACCATTAATTTTCACAAAAATGTAAGAGTGTAGTATCTCTGAGTCTTTGTACTTTTATCAAATGTATGTTTAACCAATGGACTTGGTGGTTGTCAAGTGAACAGTTAATTACCAATTGGTACCACAAGGAATTTGCCCTAAGAGAGTGATGATATTCACTGAATAAAGTTGTCTCTCCTTTGAATTTAACTCTTATGCCATTGGAGAAAAATATCTTTTTAAAACTACTGAATTATACTGGTTAGCAGGGAGCACAGAACTTCTCTGAATCTTGTTTCAAAATGTAGTCCAGAGTCAAGTTGATGGTAAAAGCTAAAAGTACATCTCTAGAGGCAGGGGAACAAAAAAACCAAACAAACCACCATAATGATGTATGATCTCAGAACCCCACTTGATCATTATTTTGGTAACTGAAATGCTCAGAGACTGCTTTTTAGGTAGAAGCTTGTGTAGATGCTTTTGAACTTTTATTTCAGACAACAGCTACAGCATTCTGCAAACTGCCTTGCCAAAGAGACCAATGAATATTTAAAGGAGTTGGGGTCTCTACCACTTCCTCTATCTGCTTCTGAACAGGTAGGCACATAGACTTTGTTTGGACATATTGTTAAATCACTCGTTTCATAAAACTAGCTTAGACTACAACCTCACAAAGCTTGAATTGGCACAGCTGAAGAGACAGCAACCTTTTGCAATGAAGAATGTTGTTGAAGTAGGGAAACGCATTAAACGGGCTACATCCTGACTGCTTATATGACACTCGGAAAACAATGTTTCCCAGTGTCAAGTAGGTATAAAACTTACTTGCATGAGAATAAGAAGACCTAAATGTTTGGGGAGTGGAGTACGCAGTTCTGTTTTTCTGAGTAAATTTCTGAAAAATAATCTTGTTTACAAAGTGCCTGGTGATGTGAGGCAGTCTTTTAGAATAAGAGCTCATAGCAAACTGCATGTCAGTATGAAATGTGATCATGCCAGAAAGCTTTCCCTTGCATGTGGTTTATTAGCTGCGGAGGGGAAGCTGACTTGCCTTGCTCATATTTGAATAAAGTAAAATATAGTGAGGCAATAATTATGACTTTATCTCTTGCCAAATAGTCCTTCGCGGTCCCCTTCCCTGTGGGAAAGGGAAGGGACAGTCCTCTGCTGTTGGCATTTTCTTGCTCTACTTTAAATCACTACTACAATATTGATATATCTGCTTTTGTGGTACTGTTGTGGGATCATCTGTGGATATGGGTCAGTAGATGTCTTAATCTAATGCTGTATTTAAAGGTTTACATGCCAGCTGTAAGCATGGCCACTTTTTGTCTGTTTGTTCAGCAAATATTTTTCAGTTAATCTACCTCTGGTGAACAAAATCCCATTATGTGCATCTCACTGAATGCAGCAGTGACTTGTGAAGCCTGTCGGAGCAATCCAGTCAAATCTGGAGGTGCTGGCATCAACATGCTGAAGATTTCCTCTGGCAGAAGGGTTGTAGCTTCCAGATGGCTCAGATGGAAGCTGCAGTGTATCATGAAGCTGCTGTAGTGGTTTATTATAGCAAAAATTAATTGAAAACATTTACTCCCTTGAAATGGCTGTTGAATTGACACAAACTTATTGAAGGATTACAATACTAGAAAGTCTGCAATTTGAGACAGCTGTTGGGAATCTCTCTAACAGAAAACATAAGAACAGACCAGAGTATTGAGTGTCCTTGGGACAAGCTTTTTCACAACTTTTTGTTTCCCATAACTGGGATGTCACAGTACTCAAAGGAGATGTTCTATGGAGGCTAAATAAGTTGATACTGTAAAATAAGGATGAAAAGGAGTATTACAACTGATGTTATTTGAAGAAAAGATGAAACTGAAATGGTTATCAGGACTAAGGATATTCTCTGATCAAATAACAGCAGGCTTGTAGTGTGGCATGTCTGGGAGAGACAGCTTATGAAAGTGGGGTATGGGTGTTGTCATTAGTTCTGGAAGCGTGGGGCTTCCTATATTTGTAAGAAAGTTAAGGCAGTTGTCTTATCAGGACAAGAGAAAGTTAAGTACTACCAGGTTGGGTAAGTAGAGGAATGAAGGGTAAAGGCACTGTAGGTATCCAAAAGGTACATAATTAAATGTGGTAGATTACTGGAGTGTGATTTGAATAAAAGTAATGGTGCAGAAGACCTCTCTACTTCAGACTTAAAAGTAGACTGAAATTAGAGAACCTTATTGCACAAAACTGTTCTGCGATAGGCAAGGCGTAGAGCATTTGGTATAACGAATTAAAATATGGCGAGCTTTTTGTTCTCTCCAGTGCCCTAGAATGCTGGAACCAAAAGATCACTTGAATGCCAGTATTCATTGTTGTTGTTATTATGTTGATGTTTTTTTTGAGATTCTGACAGTTACGTTATCATGAATGGGAGTATCTGAACACTTGTTTTTGTTTCAATTCTGTAGCGCCAACAGAGGCTTCAGAAAGAACGTTTAATGAATGACTTCTCCATGGCCTTAAATAACTTCCAGGCAATACAGAGGCGAGTGTCAGAGAAGGAAAAAGAGACTGTAGCAAGGGCGAGAGCTGGCTCCCGTATCTCTGTAAGTATGTATAAGAATTTTGTATGGATACAGTGAATTACAAGACTTTTGAGAGAGATCTTGTACTTTCCTACCAACTTCATAGCTGTCTACTGACACATTACTAAGTACAGATGAGGCCTTGTCATTCCAGATGTTGTAAGTAGACACTCATTTCAGTGTGCTCCTTGTCAAAGTTGGTAGAGGAGGGAAGGAATCTTGGTAATTGCAAATGTTGTGGAGGATGAGATGGGGAGTCAAAGTATAATTAATAGCAAAGTATTGTAGGCTGCTCTTTGCTTGATGTCAGCCCTAGACTATAAAATTTCAGAGGTCAGTTGGAAGCTTACCACACCTTAAATTACATCTTAAATCTCACACTATGTTTCTTTATTTTCTTATAGCTTCTGTCCTGCTAATATCGTCAATGCACATTCAAACCTTTCCCCCATTATGTCTTGACAAACCCCTGTGGCTACTAAGAATTCATAATAAAAAGGCCAGTGAAAGCATTTTTCTCCCATTGCCTCGGAGCTTTGTGTTAAGCATGCATTCTTAATATCTACAAGGGAACGCATTTGTCCACTAGATTGTGCTCTAAATTTTTTGCTTAATGTTGAGAAAGGAGATGACAAACAATGACAGCTGATCTGAGTAAAAGGACTAGCTGCTTTTGATTGCTAAGTTCCCTCTGATTTGCAGAGACAATCTGAATCAAAAAATTAAATCTAAGGATGAATCTAAATGTAATCTTAATTAACCAAAGTTAAATCTGAAAGTTGAAGTGACACTGACATTCTCTGGACAGTATATGCCTTTGTCTTCAAGATACTGCTCTTGATTTTGTGCGTGGTCCTGGTAGTCTGCAAGACTAATAATTCATTTATCTCTTCCAGGCTGTGGTTCAGAGAAGAACAGCTTGTTTCATTTGATAGGTAACAGCTTCTTGTACTCTTGATGTTATACTTTTAACTACATAGAACTAAAGTTTTTGTGGTAAGATGTTACTGTAACTTGGGCCACACTTTGCTAGCTGAGTGCACAGCAAAAATACTTAAAAGGCAATTATTACAGTACTTGTAATATACAGTGCAAGAAATTAACTGCATATGACAGTATTTTATTCTTCCTTAAATGTAAATTGTGTGATTACTGCCCTGAAGGGAATAGTAGAGTCCCTAGTATGTAGCAGTGGAGCTCCTGGTTTTCTGGACTGTGAGCACAAAACTACCGGATGGGATTTCCCTTACTGTGACTTTTGCCACAAAGAGCTGTATATTTATTTCATGGGTTTGGGTGTTCTCTAGCAGCCCAATTGGAGCTATTTCAGAGTAGTGGATGAGGCTGCCTTAAATTCAGAAGTCCTGAATGTTATACACTGGCAAACTAACCCTAGAACGTGCACAGCAAGACAGCATTACTGTCACCTGTCAGATGGTTGTATCGGTTCTGCAGTAAGTGTGCTTAGGTAGTAATAAGTTTGTAAAATGTTATATCAACTCTACAGTGTGCTAAAGAGAACTCAAGGCGCTGCAGAAGTATCTGTGATTACTGTGTCAGTTTCTACTGTATGTATGTTTGAGAAGTGGGATGAAATCTCTTTGCCTTAGCTGTATAAATCCTTTAACTTTCTAAATCAAGAGACCTAGCTTACATGTCTGATCTATCCATCCTCCCTCTGCAAACAGCACTTCGTCTGACCAGCTGCTTGGTGTGCATCCTGTTCATTAGCCCTGTACTTTCAACCCCAGGTTGTTCAGTTATACAGATGCTGTGATGAGTTTGAAGGCCTTGCACACTAAAGCAAGGGGAACCAGACAGGTACCTATTCATGCGAAGGCTCCTAGCTCGGTGAGAGTGAGTGGCACACAGCAGCTACTCCACATTTGATGTTATAGAGTATGTGTCAGAAATTCCTGCCTTAAGTATCTGAAAACCCTACTGTCATCTCAGAGCTGAACTGCTGGAACGGTCAGCTGTCTCTGACCTAGTCATGTAGTTTATCTTCACTTCTTTTTGGCACTTTGAGACTTCAAAACTTACTATTTAGTGTTGTATACCTAACACTGGAATGTTACAGTGCATTCCAGCATGCTTTTCTTTGAGAAGAGGAAGATGTTGCCCTTGAAGAACTTTCTATGCTGAACATATAGATAACCTTGTATTATAGGGACTGCCTTTACTATAATTAGTGTAACTTGTGCAGCAGTTATGAAGAACCACCTCATCAGGAGAGAGGTAGACGGGGATGCGGAGTTATTTGTTTTTAACATCTCTTCTAGCATGTGATTTAATTTGAAGTTATTACTAGACTAATGAATTAAAATACTAAACCACTTTATTCTTATCTCCAAATGCCAGATAGCAAGTGAGAATCTTTGAATCCATATGCTTTTCAGGTGTTCTTTTGTTCTGATAATGTTGTACTTGCAGGCTACTCTCTATCAAAACTTTCACCCTGGTTTCTTCCTTTTTGGGGGATGGTGAGAGGTATAGGTAGTTATTTAAAAAAAAAAAAGCAGAACTTAAATAAGGAGGTTTCTTCTATAATGCTACAGGTAACTGTCACACCCTAGAACAGAGTATTCTACACATGTAACTGCTTTCCAGTTTCTTCAGGGCCAGGAACCTGGGGGATTTTCTGTAGGAAACTTTTCAGCTTTGACTCACTGGCGCTTTGCTATAAATGGAGTGTGGAAGTACCTATACTCAGAGAAAGAGTCATACTCTTTTTCCATCTCTTTCCAGTGGTGAAGATTGGAATCAAATGCAGTCTCAGGAAGATGATGTGGCAATAACTGAACAGGACCTTGAACTCATTAAAGAAAGAGAAACAGCTATCAGGCAATTAGAGGTGACCAGTAGATCCTGCACAGTTAACAGTATTGGGAGATAAACCAAAGAAGTCATGCAGTGCTAACTAATGGGATGGGCTGAGGAGATCTGACGGTGGAGGAACAGAGTTCCTTGTAGAGAGGATTGATGCCAAGAGCAATCTCCCTGCTCCTGTTGAAGGAGACTAGGTATATTTTCCTTCAGTGTTGACTGGTGGTCCTTCAGAGATGGTAGGAGCAACTCATTTTACAGTGTTCATCTCAATTCCATACTGTGCTAATTGCTAGTGTGGTGAAGCAAATATTCAGTAGCAGGAATATTGTAGGCTCCTGTGTTAATCCCAAGTTCCATACACAGTAGCATCAAGTCACCTCAGTCGATGAATGCTGGTATCTATTCTGACACTGAGCAATGGTCAGAAGAGGTGCAAAGAATGAGAATTAGAAAAATTGTAACCAATGTTTGTTATAACTTGTTAAACTGTTGTCTTCAGGCAGACATTTTGGATGTCAATCAGATATTTAAGGATTTAGCCATGATGATTCATGACCAAGGAGATATGATTGGTAAGTGTGTTTGGACAATAGGAAGTTTCTTCTTAGTTCAATTACATGTTTTGCCTAAATAGATTAAATTTTCCAGTATTTATATAAAAAAGTATTGTATTTCTGATTTTTTTTTTTTTTAACACATTGAAGCTCTGAAATATTATACAATGAATTCTCTTATTTTTCCATAGATAGCATAGAGGCAAATGTGGAAAGTGCAGAAGTCCATGTGGAAAGAGCCAGTGAGCAGCTACAGAGAGCTGCCTATTATCAGGTAAATTCTGTATGCTTGCATTATTGTCAGTGTACAGTTGAGCAATAATGGAACAGGCACAACAAGACAGATACTGAGGACTGCAGCACACCAAACAAGTTATTAAAAACAGCTTGTGCAAGTTGGCACTCACTAAAGGTCGTGCTGCAAGGAATAGATAAAGCACTTGAGTCAAAAACACAGTATTGAAATTAGCCTTCTACTTCAGAGGATATAGTCTGTCTGTTCCTTCAGCTCAGCAATTTTAAGTGTTTAGTTGCCTTTGCTCTTCTCAGGAGTTAGCAGAACAGTTAAACAAGTTAAATCCTTGCCCAGACTCAGCAAAATTCTGGTGACTGGGATTTGCAGCGCCCTTCTTTCAAACTGCTGAGTTTCTATCCTGTAGTCTGTCCTCCCTCTCCCATCAAATCTCTTGCAGTGGTTCTCACTGCTGCTTAAATATCCTTTGTGTATGATAGTCAATGTTTTGTGTAGGTTCTTTTCATCATTATTGTCCCTGTAGGTCCAGGTTCTGTGAAGGAATAAGGGTTCTGCTTCGGTCCCATACAGAGTTTCACTGCTGGGACTTCAGGTTTCCACACAAGATAAAAATTGGATTTTTTCAAGCTGTTAAGTGGGGAGGTACTAGAAGGCATTAAAATTCCAGTGCTGTTTAGCGCAAGGGAGGGAAAGTAGCTTTTACCATCTGGTAGCATTTAGTAGTATTCTCTCTCTTCGTGGCTTCCTTTACAAAGTTTTGAGGTATGTTATAAATCTAAGTTTGGGAGCTATTGGACAGGTATTGGATGTGTTTTTATGTGGTTATATATAACTATCCTCAAATCCTTAGATGCCGAGTTCAAAATATTTCATGTACATGGACAGACTGTAGTTTCCTATGATGAATAAAGCGATCAAAGCGGTAAAATCCAAGTACAGTAACTATATTAAATCATTTAAACTGTAGAAAGGCAAGACTATTTCCATACCAATCCCAAGTGGCCAAGGTGAGACTGTATTGGAGAACTGCTTAGCAGTTTTATTAGTCTTACCTGGAAAATCTAGAGATGTTTGGCTTTTCTTTGAAGCCATAGTGTTGTCTGTTATGATGAAAAGCATGTGGTAGGTGTTGTCAAGTTCTCTTTTTGTAGCCAACTTGAAGTAAAGTTTGCGTTTTCCTTAAGAGGAGCAAAACTTGTCACATTTTGAGTTAACCACGTCTCTTGGACCACTGTGCTTCTAAAACTAAAAACATTTATCTGTGGGATCATGCAGTTTAAGGAACATGTAAAAGTGTTCAGTCTACACTAGTTACTTGTCTTGAATAAGTATGGGTATCAAGTGCTCTAGTTCACCAAAGTTAGTGATATTAATTGCTAGACTTGCTTTTTCCTCTTGTTGTCTGTTCCTGGTGTCAGTGGCTTTTTTTCTTTTTCTTTTATTAGAAGAAATCCCGTAAGAAGATCTGTATCCTGATTCTTGGGCTTGCGGTGGCTTCTATAATCATAGGATTCATTATCTGGCAGACAACAAAATGAAATTTTTACATGGAACCTAGTCTCATTGCTGAGATTTTTTTTTTTTTTTTCCCCTCGGAGCAAACAGGCTGACTCGTCTGGGAAATGAATTGACTACCTTGAGAGAGCACAAGCTGGAACTACTTCTAGTAATAGATATTAGCAACTAATGTGCAGATAACTAGTATTTGGAATTAGTGAACCATGGAGACAGTATTTATCAGTTTATATACAAATTATATTGTTTTATGTAACTAAAATCTTGTGACTTTTGCTTTCTGTAATGTATTATTCCCTGTCCCAACTGTATGCTGAAGTGTGATCTATAATTGGAGATGTCTTGTTTTTGACAAGTGGCACAACTTTAACATTTTATATGTATAGGTAACTTTGTTGGACTGGAATAAGAATGACATTCAAAGACGGCACACCACCGATTCGCATTACCTTAATCTAGCAGTTTCTAAAGTCTCCAGTATCTGCCCCATGGTTTTATTAGTCTCCAAGTGGCTGTGGTTCTAGATTGACTTGAAGAGAAAGATGTTACAGATTTGAAAGGCAAGAAGTATGCATGGATGATAGTTGGAACCACTGTGTGCTGGTCAGTTTAGCCGTGAGACTCGTAACTGGTGTTTAATTTTTTTTGAGCATGGTTGGGGTTGTTTTTTTCCAAAATGTGTCATTTGAGGACTGGATGTTATTTGACTTATAATCTAACAACTTCCTTAGATAAACTAGCTGTTGGTTTATTATTGGACGGATAAATCTCTTCCAATGCTGACTCTGAAGCACTAGAAATACAAAGTTTTGCTGCTCACTCCTAATTGTTTTTAGAAGCTTCCAGGGAAAAAATCATGCAAAGGTGAGGAAGTGGGCACCTAAGTTTACATGCTAGCCAGGATAGATGAGTATTAGCTGAAATCTTGCTTCTGAAGAAGTACTCTTGAAGCTCACTTGTAGTGTACTAGTAAATATTATGTGTGGCTTGTGAACATCTGGTATTTTTCCATTCATTATGAAACAAAGTGAAGAAACTGCCAGAGTGAAATCTTGCTTCTGAAGAAGTACTCTTGAAGCTCACTTGTAGTGTACTAGTAAATATTATGTGTGGCTTGTGAACATCTGGTATTTTTCCATTCATTATGAAACAGAAAGTGAAGAAACTGGCAGAGTGAAGTGCTAGGTTTTTCAGACTGAGGATGTGGATGCATATGAAAAAGACTGATGGTTCCAACTGTCTTGCTAGTAGAGCTGGACAGAACATAGCAGCCACTCCCTGCTTCAATGTAGCTCTGAACTGACATGCACTGAGGGAACAGTAATCTGTCCAAAGCCCAACGGAGTGTGGTAAATGCAGCATACTGACCCATTTTGTATTGAATCCTTATTCTATGTCTCCTGTATAATAAAGTAAATGTGAAAGCTGGGGAGTGTGTTCTCCCAATTGCACAGTGGTTTGCACTATTGCGCCATCATTCCATCTAATAACTGTCAATAAACACTTTTAAAAGCCTCTGTCAGAGCTTCTTTCTCTTCTAGTTTAGACATTGGCACGAGTACATTTGTAGTTCCCTCTAAGCAGGGTGGAAGACTTTACATCAGCAACAGCAGTGTTTCCTTCAGCTTTAGTTCTTAAGAATGAAACTAGCTGAAAACACAAAATTGCTTTCACATGGACATACACACCGCTCCTGGGCAGAGCCCAGTGCAATAGCCCCAGAACATTGTTGGGTCAACTAGCCTTTTGCTAGAACTTGAAGTCTTTGCTGAGCCTGTGCAGTAAAATCTGACTTGAAAGTGAGGGACGTGTGTGGTGTTCTGCTCCTTGTTTAAAAGGGTAGAGCCTGCTGGCTTGTGCATTGCCTGCTTCAGGGGGACAGTCCTTTGGATGTCACACCTCTGTATAAAAATGAAAGAACTTACTGCCTCGCTGTGCTTAAAAGGGAGCATGGGTGCATTATTTGTAAGAGCCATCCTTACCCTAACCTGTTTTAGTCCTCTGGAAACTGTAATTGAGAAGAGCAGTCCAGCTTGCTGGACTCAGGATTGCCGTAATTGCTTGACTCCTTGCTTTCTTTACATCATTGAACTTAGCAGTGGAACTCCTGCAGAAACTGTTTTTAACAGCAGACTTGACAAATGTTCCTGAGCATGAAAAGATGCCCTCAGAAACTCTCATTGCTGTTGCTACAGCTGTCTGGCACTAAGCATTCCTGGCTCTCAGATGTGTTCTATACCACTCTCAGAGTTGCTGGAAACTTATTCTGGGAAGTCTGGCACTCGCTGTGAGAGCTAGTGAAAGGATAAGCTTGATTGTGCTGCTTGTTGTGGTAGCTACCCCAGCACTGCTCAGGGGTGCGAGGTCCTCTGAGCAACAGCTCTTAGGGGAGCTGTGGCTCACTGGGACGATAGTGGAGAAATGCGCTTTTTCCCCTCGTGTAACCTTCGTTATCTGTACTTGTAACAAAGCGCGTGACCCGTGTTACCCGCCATCTACTTGGTTTTCTGTCTGCTGTTCGGTAAAAAGGTGAGATGCTCAAACACTTGCTAAAATGGGGTCTTGAAAACCTGTTAGAGGAGGGCTTGATCCAGGTTATTCCCCTGTTGTTACACAAACTTTTTACCGACCCTCCCTGTCAGCACCTTCTTCCTCCCGCAGTGAGGGAGGCGGTCGCCAGCCGAGGCCGA